AATAAAATGCAGCATAGCAACATTTTCATGCCACTACATTTGGCAAAAACAAAATGTCAATACAACACTGATATATTAGCACTTTTTAAGTAGAACTTGCAAACAGTTGCTTATTTACATCCAGCAGACACAGAGCAGCATTAGCATTTATTTGGAGTCAAACTATGTCCACCTGAAGACTCCAAGTCTAATATTCACTCTTCTTTGAGCTCTGGTTTTGGTCTCCACCAACTCCTGAGGGCAATATATCCTTAAAATATTTTCATACAACAGCAGTGGATGGAAACACACTATTGTGTGGCATCACAAATCTTAAAGTCTTAAAGCTACAGTAGGTTGCTTTTATAAAACTATCTTTTTGTAATATTTTCTGAAACTTTTCACTCTATCCTGATGAAAAACATCAGGTTCCTCTGGCTCATCCTTGTGCTCCTTAATGGCATTTGCAAGAATCCAAGGAGTGTCCAGTGATCGATAGATGGAGTGGCTCGTCTCGAGAGAGACGGAAGAGGGCAGAAGGAACTCAACTGACATTTCGGTATATATTTGAACTCGATATGATTTTCTGTTTCAGAGGTTTCCATGAGATAACCACACACAGCATCCAAAGCAGCTCCACACTGTCCTTCGGCAGATGTGAGTGCGTAGTTCAGATCAGATCCTGACTATGCCACTACACATAATTTTTTCTATGAAATATTAACTCAATCCTGTGTGATGCTTTGAATGATTTAGGACAAACTGTGGTAAATTGACTACAATAAACTTTATATCGCAACACACTGCCTAAAGATAGCTGATTGACTTTCACATCTCTTCTTGTGGGGACTCTATTCATATTCTCTCTGCAGCTCTCTCTTTCTGATATTCTTCTCCTTATCTTATAAAGAAGTAAATGGATAAATAAAACACAACTAGCTGGATATATCTTCGTTTCTAGAACTTGGTTTTTAGATTAAGGCCATTGGAGTTGTGGAGAGTTTTTCTAAGCCTCCAGCTGTAATAGTCATTAAAGAAAGATACACGATTAGATTCTGCTCAGATAGACTTGAAGTAGCTGGAAGCAGACTATGTGTGTTTTCGTTCATGTCTGGCAGAAGGAACGATGTCTCAAACGAACTTTTTCTAATTTTCTGAAGAAATACAAAAGGATTCACGCAAGGAGCGCTATAACGTTACGTATCCTAAGCATTTTTTTTTGACAGTATCCCTTTTATACCTAGGAGTTGCGTTATTTTACAGCGATCAATAAGGTTTAGAGGTCATATAGATATTCGGAGGTTATGAGTCTTTCCTGGACGCAATTATGTTCGGTATCCCATCTTCAACTGGTTCACCGTGGCATACCACAAGAAAACATATTTATACCCAGCTTTGAGTTGCCTCCGGTGAATGATCATCTTCCAAATATTACAGAAGAATCACACAATGCAGCATATGGAACATTTTCTGACTAGGATTACACCTGGGAAAAAGCAAAATGTCAGTAACGACCCTGATATATTAGCCTTTTTATAGTAGAACTTGGCAAACAGTTGCTTTATTTATCATGCAGCCAGACCAGAGCAGGCATATAGGGCCATTTATTTGGAGTAACACTATGTCGCACCTGAAGACTCCCAAGGGTCTAATACTCTCAGTCTTCTTTGAGCTTTCCATGGTTTTTGGTCTCCAGCCCAACTCCTGCTGAGGGCAATATTCACATCACCTCTAAAATATTTTCATAGAAGAGCAGTGGCTGGAAAGCACACTAATTGTACGTGCGGTAGCATCACACATCTTACAGTCTTAAAGCTACAGTAGGTTTGCCTATTTATTACACTATCATTCTTTGTAAACATACTTTTCATGAAATCCATTTCACCTCACTACTCCCTGTTGAAAATCAAGTTCTCCTTTGGGATATCGTTGTGATTCCGTTAATGGGATTTGCGAAGAATCCGGCAGCAGGGGGACCTGAACGAAAGGACCAATCACTGAGCACAAGAATAAGCATAGCTGATTAGTTCGAGAGTCAGTTCCCGCCGAAAGCTATCTAATTACCAACATGGGAACGAACACTGGACTCACAATCACCCATACATTTCAAAGTGCCAACACAGAGCATCTTTCTACCCTGGCTTCTCAGCCTCCATGATTGGTTGTTTGTCTTTTTGATAAAAAGTTTATTATTTTATAAAAGGTTGGCTAGGCGTCGGGCGCTTTATGATACTACACCAAGTGCACCGTAGCTGATTGACGGTAACCAGGCTTTAAAGAAGCCAGAAAATGGTTTTACAAATTTTTGTGATGCAGGCAAAAGGTCAAGCGCACTTGTAGCGCGCAGCCTGTGAGAGATTCTTCAGGATCTTCAAAACGGACAAGCGCGTTGTGATGCCTGCAAAGCAGGCTTGGCAGACTGTGCTGAAAAATAGCGCAAAAACAGGAACAAAATCAGCAGAGTCCAGCTCCCGCGTCCTTAAGACGAGATAAAGAAAAACAAAAGTGAGCCGGCCTGAGCCGACCACCCCGAGGCTTCTTTCTTTTTAAGATAACAAGAGAGGAAATAGATAAGTAATACAACGTGCATCCGAATGTTTTCAGCGAAACCAATGTTTTCATAAACCTGGATCGTAGCAGAGGAGCAGCGGTTGCAGGAAAGTTTAGAAAGGGACCCCCAAATAGAAAGAAATAAGAGAAACGGAAGAGAGATGGAGGGTTTTTGTGAGGGCATGCTAAGCTTTGAGAGGCTTCCCGCCTCTCTTAGTAGACCGAATGCTGGCGAAACCACCACACACACAACAACACAGCCACACACAACGAAGGACGAACCTGGGAGCATCGAAGAGAGTTTGTGTTGCTTTGGATTCGAAGTCGCTACCCAACTCACTGACAGCAAGCACACACACAGCCCACACACAGCACGACGCCCTGCCACCCATGCAGCGCCAGCACACAGAATCACCACACACCACACAACACAGCACCACACCCCAAAAAAGTCGCTCCCGTTAATCACATCCTCACAGCAGACCGCCGCCCTTGGCTGTCCTGAAAGGTCAAGGTAGCAAGATGAGGTCGGACAGTGTGGGTGAAGAAAGAAGGTGGATGAAAGGAGAGTGTGATCAGATGAGCATT